CGGTTCCTAGGGGCTTCATGTCTAGGGTACGGGTCACGGTCTCTTATGTTTTCTACCGCTCTCTCTCGCTGCCTCCTACGGGGTCCTATCTCGCTCTCATCCCCACTATGGATTTCGGGGCTATGTTCTCGGTTTGGTATAGGACGGGCAACAGGTTCTCGGTTATGATGTGCGGTTTCTCGAGCGGGTTGGTTTTGCGTTCGGGATTCTTCTAGCCTAGCTATTCGATCCATCATTTGTTGGAGGGCTCGGAATACCTCAGTTTTACTAGAGGACCCTACGTTCTCACCCTCGTTGGTGGCGTCGTTGGCACTCATGTTTCGCTCAAATCTCGCACAATGCAAATAACGCGCAAAACACTCAAATGGATCCACAATCAACGTGCAAATGCGGAAATGATAGACGAGTAATCACACAATCACGGGGTTGTCAACGGCCAATCACGCAACGTGCAATCTGTACGTATATTCTTACTCACGTGCAGGGGTATACAATCAACGTGCAAAGCAACAATCGATCACGACGTGCAAGTAGATGGACGTGCAAACGCGCGAAAGATCGAATCGACGTGTGAGACGGGATAACAGCAAGCAACACGTTTCACACACAGCGTACAACGGGATGCACCAACCAAACAGACAGCAACCTCGCAATGGGATCGTGCAAGCAAGACGAACAACGAACGTTCGTTTTCAATTCAACGGTTTCGCATACAACGCTCACTAGAACAGATTTTTCTTAACGAACGTGCAGATTTCTACCGGGTACATGAGTCACTTGCGGGTACAGATAGTTCGGTTCTAATCACATACAAACGTGCAAGAGTTCCACAATAAGCGTCACGCAATCTGTCCAACACGTCACACAACAACGGATAACAAACCAGATTTTCAGAAGACGAATAGTTCACGAACACGCACAGATTTCGTGAATCACGAAGCAAACAATCGAGATTGATCAAGGAGGGATCTCACCCGGATTGTAGCTGCGTTTCCGACTGTAGGAACTTGATCTCTCTTCCTCGATTACAATCTGCAAACAATGCAACACGAAATCAGATTTCTCGTCGATGTACAAGCCGCAACACGCAGAATTGTTTTCGGGTTTCCGATGGGACCGAATCAAATGACAAAACAGAAATTGATAAAGGATAGATCTCACCCGGGGAACGTCCTATGGCTCGAGCAAGCTTTGATACCAAAATCATGTACGCACGGAGGAGGATGGGCAGGAAGTTCAACCGCAATCACCGGCTCACGGTGAGTGGCTCTCGAATTCACGGATGAACGGGGAATAATCAAAGTGGGTTTAAGGGGAAACGATTTCGATCACCGGCTCACGGGAGTGGCTCTCGAATTCGGAATCATTTCAAGGAGATGGAGATGAACGAAGGCTTCCTCGGACAGACCAAGGAGAAGAGTCGGACACACCGAGCTCAAGGATGACCGGCGGACACACTGACGACGGCCAACAACGGGGCTGCTAGACAAACCGGCGAACCACGTGAAGACGGGCGGACGAACCAGCCAAAGAGAGAGATTTCTCAAAAGAAAACTTCAATAATCAAACTTAGCTTCGTTCATGATGCATTACAAGTGTTTTAAAAGAGTTTAAGTGAAAACAATACATTAAATGCTAGCTAACATGCAAGGATAGGAGCCTAATTGTCATTAAATGAAGTAGTTGACAAAATATGGTTGTTGCAACTTCTTTAATGGGCCGAGTGGGCTGATGAGAAAGGCCCATGGGCTGCATCTTAGGCTTAGACATCGACAACTTCAAGTGTGAGAAAGTTCCGGGTCGAGCTTCGTCCGAAAAACGAAGTATCATCGTTATCGTGAACCCGGGATCCGTGGAGAACTTTGGTGATGGCTTCGGTAAGCGTGACACGAAGTGCTCGAGCTCTAGCTCTAGCACGAGTAAGTGGAGGCTCGGCTCTATGACTTGCTCGGGGAGCCTTCGTGTTGTGCACGTCACATCCTGTTCCTGCGGCTTCGAATGATCGTGTAACGTCGTGATCAGTCGGTTGGGCTCGTCTCCTAGGTGGCTCATAGTAATCGAAACCCTCGGCATCTATCCTATCTCGGTGTCTATAGGCTCTAGGGGGTTCGTCGTAATCCGTCCCTTCCTCGGTTAATCTCTCACAGTTCCTAGGGGCTTCATGTCTAGGGTACGGGTCACGGTCTCTTATGTTTTCTACCGCTCTCTCTCGCTGCCTCCTACGGGGTCCTATCTCGCTCTCATCCCCACTATGGATTTCGGGGCTATGTTCTCGGTTTGGTATAGGACAGGCAACGGGTTCTTGGTTATGATGTGCGGTTTCTCGAGCGGGTTGGTTTTGCGGTCGGGATTCTTCTAGCCTAGCTATTCGATCCATCATTTGTTGGAGGGCTCGGAATACCTCAGTTTTACTAGAGGACCCTACGTTCTCACCCTCGTTGGTGGCGTCGTTGGCACTCATGTTTCGCTCAAATCTCGCACAATGCAAATAATGCGCAAAACACTCAAATGGATCCACAATCAACGTGCAAATGCGGAAATGATAGACGAGTAATCACACAATCACGGGGTTGTCAACGGCCAATCACGCAACGTGCAATCTGTACGTATACTCTTACTCACGTGCAGGGGTACACAATCAACGTGC